TATGCGTAATATGCATGACTTGATGATGTGTCACGGTTGCATGAAAAGAAATATATAATGTAGGGAGTATCGTCTTTCTTTTATTTTCCAGGAGATGTTTTATCGCCGTTTGGATTGCAGAAAACAAGCAAGAAGATAAATTCGGAAAAGAAAAGTAAAAAAGAAAATCTGGAAAAGAAAAGCCAAAAAGGCGAGACGAGAAGTTCCCCACCCTTGTTAAGCTCCCGGCCCATTTGCTAAACTAGGCGCCAACTCCTCGCCGCCTCCCGCGATTTCCTCCCCAATCCATTTCGCTCCTCCTCCGCCCCGTCGACGAACAGAGCGGTCCGTGCCATGCCGCGGCAGGGGCGACGGGGAAGAGGGCGCGACCGGCCGGGCCGCGCCTGAGCGACGTGGGGTGATCGGGCGGCGCCAATGGACGAGTCCGGGGACGCCGGCAGGGGAGGGAGGGGCGGCGGGAGGTCGAGGCAGAATGGGGGCCGCTCGTCGGTCCGGCTCGGCGTGCGGATGGAGTTCAGGTTCTCCGGCTTCCACGCCGTTCAGGTGATGTTGATCGGGAACGCATTCTCTTCACGTCGCACCGCTGCATTCCGACCGATTCGGGATTGCTGTTTCGGGGGTTGCTAGGGTGTTTCGTTACCCGGGAATCTCAATGCGTTTCCGTCTATGGGTTAGTGAAAGCTTCGCGAGATGGGTTGAATCTTGAATTAATTTCCTATTGTATCGAATAGATTTCGAATGGTAATTTGTACTAGTGGGGTGAATCCGGAAATTCATCGGTGATGGGTTGAGCAGCATAAACGTGTGACTGAAACGTGCATGTTCAGGAAGATCGATAAATGTACATGCCTATTCTGGTCCTACACCGGGAGAAGCTTCGTCCTTAGCCACGTTTTGTGTGTTTTTGTCTCCGTTAGAGAAAGGCGATGCCGGTCGCAGAGGGAATGCTGATCTGCTCATGTGCTCGGAGATCAATTTATTGAGAGTTCTTAGCAAACTAGACATATTTAAGCTTAGTTCTGATCATGCCGTCAACATTCGGCTGTTGAGGCATCTGAAGGTTGTGAGTTTCCCATTTATACTAGGCAGGACATGCTTCGATCGAAATCCTAGCAGCACGCGTGCATTTTAAAGTAGTTCAATTGAAGATGGGTTGTTAGGACAAATCGAGGATTTTTGCTACTTCATTCGGTGACACTTGAGGATTTGCAAGATCTAATAGTAATTGTTTGAATAGCTGTAGTTATTTTGTTGGTATGATATGGAAACACATGGCAGTGCGGCAGATCATTCAAAGGAAATAACATACCGATACAAATGGATGACACAGGTTTGTTGATGAATTTCTTATTGGTGCTTGCTCAACAGGTACCAGTAGTATCAGACAGGCTGCTCATTACAATCACGTCAGTAGACAGTGGAAAAACAATTGCCAAGTCAAGTAAAGCGGCTGCTATTAATGGAGCCTGTCAATGGCATGACTCCATCCTGCATGCAATTCGGTTTCCTAAAGATGAAGTGTCACAAGAATTTCAGGAGTGCCAGTGCAAGATTGTTGTTTCCATGGTATGGCCATTGCCAGCATGTTTTTCCACCTCATTCACTTGCCTATCAAATTTCCATTCCTTTATTATTCCGTTGGCTTACTAACAACATATCTCCTGTTACAGGGATCAACAAGAACTGCTGTTCTTGGGGAAGCGTACCTAAATCTGACGAACTATCTCAGTTCATCAGACTCCACTGACATCTCTTTGCCATTGAAGAATTGCAATTCTGGCACAGTTTTACAGGTAGATTTCATTTAGCTGTACTTGTTTTACCCCAGAGAATTTCTGATGGTTTATTGGATCCCATATGATCTTCAAATTTAACAATGGCTTTGGTCCATCTAGTTATACTGTTCGGTCCCTGAAGTGATTAACTTTCTCTAGGATTTTACTCATATTCTGTTGACCTGCCATGTGCCATCTATATTAGTTGATTCTTGGATGTACAATAAATGCTTAACTTTCTCTAGAGTCTAGACTATCATCTGCATGTTAGTTAATGGTTGCGAGCCTCTGTTTGTAACCTACTAGTATTACTAGCAGTATGCACTTGTATAGCCCAGCAGAAAGCATTAGATTTGATAATTTTAGCTCTTACAGATGAACTCATAAATAATTTTTCCAAATTATCATTTCTCTGTATGATATTTTTGTCTTTCATCAACTAAACAGCAGGTCTCAGATAAAATAATAGTTAATGCCAAATCGTAATGTTTCAAGACATTCATGGGGTAATGATGTTATTTAGACCTATTTTTGTTACTGTTCACAAGTTTTGATTCGCATTGCCGGGGTGGGTTTAAGGTAATTTCTAGAGGAAAGTTATCTCTAGCTGTCAGCTAAAATTCTTGATAAACACCGACTAAATCTCCGTTTATTATGTTTATGATGATCTCTGGTGTTTCTTAATTGCAGCTTAAGATTCAATGTCTTGGCGCAAAATCTAAATCAAGGTAACCTGACCATGTTTTACATTGACATGTCCATATTTCCTATTTTCACTCTGGTGGTTGCAAACATTTGTATCTTTAATCTTTGATGGCCACCTATTTGACTGCCAAAACTTCTACTACTTGTTGTATCTTGACTGCTCATAGGACTTATTTTCTGTTGTCATGTTGGCATTATGCGCAGTGGGAAATCATGGAAAGGGCTATCTTCTAATCTTAAGGAGAGTCCAACCAATGATGAGATGGACAAAAAGGCAGACGTCTTTGACATTCTGTTGAAGTTGAACAAGGGTGCTCAGTCTTTGTCAGAAAATAATTTAGAAGCTGATAATGCAGATGAATCTGGAAATAGGGTATGATGCCTTGGCTAAAATTCATATGGGTCCAAGTTTTCTTTTATTTCGAAAATATTTTGCTGGTACTCATAAATGACAGGTACATCAAATGAAATAAAAGGTGGATTTTGGGGAAATTTGTGGAATCTCTTCTTTCTCTTCCATTGGTACACATAAATATGTACAAGTACACATGGGCCACTTGGGCTAGACTCTCACGCATAAACATACACATACACAGCCTAACATAAAACATTTTGAATGCCTTCATATGTTATATTAGTTCCTGCTCGAACAGTTTTGTTCACTGATGAGTTGCGAGTTTGAGCTAAAGTAGGCGACAAATTAGCTGAAAAGTATAGTTTGGGTTGTTGTAGCTATCTATTGCTTCTCATTTTAATCCCCCTGCACTCGAAATCTTTGAAACAAACTCCCAGACAGTTATATGCCCAATGTGCACAAGGATGACCAAGTTACAATTTACATTTATAAACTTCTTCCATTTTCAAAGAACACTTTCATATTGATGATCTTGGGTCGTTAGTTATCTTGTTCTTAGATCTCAATGTCTGCAGTCAGAAATTTTCACTTGGACTGATATGTTTTTTATATTAAACATGTGTATTCTGGGAATACATATCCGTTTTATTATGTACCTACCAATGTATGTTCAATAGAGGATGTTTGTTTTGTGTTCTTCTGTCTGAGATAGATCCAATCAACATTCGTATTTCCGCTCATTTTCTAACCCACTGGTCAATGTCTGTTCTAAGTTAACAAGCAAACAAAAGATTATTTTTCTTATCTAACCTATGGTTGCCACACCTCTTGCAATTATTTGCCTAATATTATCTACTTGTTGATGTCCATTCAGTGAGAGCCATCTTTTAGAACCATGGAGCCCGGCTCCACCTCTAGATGTCATTGATTTAAAAAAGAACGGCCTGGAGATGTGTGCCAATGTGTGTGATTTGCGGGCTGTTTAGCTAGAATGGCTTAATGCATGGGACAGATATTTTAAATTGTTGTGCTGCACAATGCTTTGGCTGACACAGCCTTCTGCCACAACAGCAGTACTCGGCTGAGAGAGAAACTATTGTTTAATAATTCACTGTTCTGACAAGGAGCAGCAAAGAACAGTATGCAACGCCATAGGTTAAGAAATTACTGTACTTGATTAGTGGTCCTTGGCCAAATGACTCTGCACAGTGCAGATCTCGAGTTGCCGTCTACTCCCTCCGTTTCTAAATATAAGCCTTTTTAGAGATTTCAGTACGGACCACATACGGATAGATATATAGATGTATTTTAGAGGGTGGATTCACTCATTTTGCTCCGTATGTAGTTTGTATTGGAATCTCTAAAAAAGCTTATATTTAGGAACGGAGGAAGTAACGGCAAAGAGACGTGGAGCCCCGGTCCTGTGGTTCTACTGAACTTTTGTCGTTCATTTATCCTTTATATGAGAGACTAGCATTATAGATAACTAGATATCTGAATATGGATAACAGCGAACGAAGGAAAATAACCTCCTTTTTCAGCAATCAGCACACTATTTCTTTTGTATGCAATGGAGATAACTCCCAGTCCATGCATTAGTCGAATGCACATGCGATTTTTCAGTGTATACTATGTATAACTGCAGACTGCATCTGTAATTTCAGGATGCAAGTTTCTCAGAATCAAAGTCTCATGGTGATGATTCATCCAAAAATCACCTTGACACCGCCGAAGAAAAACTTGAGGAGTTACGTAACGCAGCAAAAGTGTGGGAGAGACATTCTCGCAAGTTGAAAATTGAACGGAAGACATTGAAGAATGAGTGTGCTGACAAATCCAAGCAGCAGGCTGAGCTAGAACGGCAACTTTCTGCTTCACTTTCTGAACAGGATTCCTTGAGGCAAGAAATTGAACAAGTAACAGCCCAACTGAACAAGACTCAAGAGACCAATATAGAGCTTGTTTCCATTCTCCAAGAACTGGAAGAAACGATAGAACTGCAGAGAGTGGAAATGTCCAAACTTCCCCAAGTGAGTGATGTGGCTGATCACGAGGTCTCCAAAAGTGAATCGACAGTTCAAGAAGCTGCAGAATGGGCTAGAATACTGTCACAAAAAGAAGATGAAATCACAGTGTTGAGGGAGAAACTGAACCGTGTTCTCAAAATGGAGAATGCAGATGGTGCAGGCCCAGATGTTATTTATCTTGAATTGGAAAAAGAAAATGATTTTTTGAAGGTCAAAATACAGGAGCTTGAGAATGACTTTTCTGAATTAACGGAGGAAAATTTCGGGCTTATATACAAGTTGAAAGAAGTGAGTGGGGTGGCGAAAGAAGAGGATCCCTGCATTTCTAATAGTGAAGAAATGCCCACCGTGGGGAGCCCAACATATAAGATAAAACACCTAGAGAGAAAATGTGCTGACCTTGAGTTGAATCTGGAGAATTTTAGGTCCGAGTTCAGTGGGCTAGAAGAGAAGTTCCAGAAAAGCCAAGAGGAGTTAAAAGAGAGAACACTTGAATTATCTGAGCTGAGGGAAAAGCTCTCCCATGCCACTGAACTGGAAGGGGCTGACACTGGTAGTTCAAGACATTATAGACTGAGAAGTGGAGAACCTGATGATACTGAAACTGACTTAGATGTGTTGAAGCGTACAGTTCAGCTGAAAGAACAAGAGATCGATGGTTTGCAACACTGTACGAGAGAAATGGAGAACACCATTGCTGATATTCAGAAAGAGAAGAGTCAGTTAGAGGAATGTTTGGCAGCATCACTTCAAGAAAGTAGCATGACTTCAAAATGCTTGGTTGAAGCGCATGAAGATCTCGTGCTTACCAGCAGTGTAGATTCCCATGTTTCTTCCAATGAGGTCCTCGAAACAAAGATCAGTGAGCTTGAGCGTACAGTTCAGCTGAAAGAACAAGAGATCGATGATTTGCAACACTGTACGAGAGAAATGGAGAACACCATTGCTGATATTCAGAAAGAGAAGAGTCAGTTAGAGGAACGTTTGGCAGCATCACTTCAAGAAAGTAGCATGACTTCAAAATGCTTGGTTGAAGCGCATGAAGATCTCGTGCTTACCAGCAGTGTAGATTCCCATGTTTCTTCCAATGAGGTCCTCGAAACAAAGATCAGTGAGCTTGAGCGTACAGTTCAGCTGAAAGAACAAGAGATCGATGATTTGCAACACTGTACG